AAGTACCTGAGAAAAATTCTCTCATTCTAAAAATATCTATTCAACAACCTTTTGCCCCATTTAAATGGGGATAAATCCTTTTACAGTGAACATATATAGTCGTAATTACTTCTACAAGCAACCACTTAAGATAAGGCACTAAATCCCAACAGACAACATTAAAAGGGACATCTTCTCAAGGCAAAATGGATTTCTCTGAACAACATTAGCATTACTAGACTAAAGGGAGATATTAAGTTTCTAAGACACAAGACACAAGGTTCTTCTTACCCTTAGAAAAGCAGAGACACATCTCTTGAACATTTATTTTGTATCAAGTTTAATGGTGGAAGGCTGTAAATACCTGCTCGTGGCAAACTGACTTGCTTAAGTACTAGTAAACTAGCACTTAAGCAAATACTCTGCCTGACTTCACCCAAGACTCTCAGTTTCACAAAGAAAAGTTCAGTTGCTTTCACAATGTCTTAAGATACATAGCTCTGCATGAATTTTTTAAAAAAAAAAAAAAAAAAAAAAAAAAAAGGTGGGGGGGACACAGCAAAAATAAGAGGCAGAGACATAGCACATCTACAGACCATCCATCCTCATCTTTCAACTGGATATAAACAAGGTTTTACAGTTCCTAGAGAATGGTGGGTTTAGAGCACTGACCTACATCAGGTAGTAGCCAACTTTTATAACAGAAATTCCACTTCTTTGTGATTCTGATCACAATTAGCGCTAAGGACAGACGATGCTCCTGGAATTCCCACATTTTAGACTAAGACTTCAACACCTTGTAACCTCAAAAGATCCATTCCTGGCCTTTCTAAAGATGATAAAAAGAGCTTTAGAAGTTTATGTCTTAAATTGCAACAAGCCTCACAGTGTATACATGGACTGTTATTATTTGTGAGGTCAACAGAATTACGAGCAAATGGTCTTCTCATTATATTAAACCCCTGGTAATCTTTCCATGTGCAGTATCCTCCTGTCCCAATTATTACTCAAAAAATATTGGACTGTTTAAGCTCTGTAACAAGCCCTAATACCACTAAAAAAGTACTATTTTAGAGCAGAGCCTAATCCTCCTAAGTATGAGTACCAGATTTCAGGGACATGAAAAGCTTGATATTTAAAGTGAAAATTCACAAATGAGCTGTTTCTTTAGATTTTTCAAGTATAAACAATTTCACAAAGTAAAATCTGCCAGAAGGTTCTCTGCTTATAGGTTGAAAGCATATAGCTTTCAACAGCAGAAATGATGAATATGAGTTTTTATTTTTTCAACTGAAAGGTTAATAGTGGATGGATGCCATTTAAGGAGAAAAAAGTAGCAATTAAGTACAGCATATTTATTAAATATTAACATTACAACAAAAGTCATGTTGTCAAGCAGAAGGACTCTCTTTGTAGTTTTTCCAGCCAATCATCAGCCATAGAACCTTATGTTGTTTCCTTTCAGGTTTTGAAACACTGACTCATGGAAATATCAGCACTGCACACTTCCTCAAAGTGGCAATCTTATAGGAAGTGTTTGTTTAGTCTTACATGACACATTGTTTTGTTTATGTATAAGGGATTCCGGTAAAAATAATTTTCAATTAAGGAAAAAAAGACAAAAGCACAGTTATGGGAAGCCAAAATAAATCAATTTCAAATAGACATTTGAACAGCACATTCATTAGCACAAGTACTACTTTTTTCTTTCTACTGTACATTACTTCCTTGCAACAGTCATGAACAGAAGTAGCCAGGCATTGAGTTCTATCAATTCAAGTAACCGCAAAAGAAACTGGACAAGAGGTAACACAGTAACAATTCCTCTTAACACTGCTACCCAGACTGACAGAGTTTGTATCATTGCTCCACAACTTCAATATCTCAAGGAGACATCTTTTGGAAGTGGCTCACCACTGCCAGTGCAACTGAATGAGACAAACACGGGTTCCTAAGAAGCTCAATGCTTCACATTTTCAAAAGATGAAACAGATGGCTCAAGCCAAATCCAAGCATGACTAGAAACAACACTCCTCAGAAGAGGGATGCTTTTATATAATTATCCATCTAGCTAAATACGGCTGATTCCATGTAACCCATCAGTCTCAAAAGAACAAGTTACACCAGCAGCAGAAAATGCCTTCATTTACCTGCAGCTTCTTGGAAATACAGGACAAGCCAGCCACTGCAACACATCACATTAGGGCATTCAAACATCTCTAGGCTACAACGCTTTGCACAGCCAGAAGCCTCCCAGCTTCATCAGCCTCTCCATCAAGGAAGGTACGCCAACATGGGTGTCTCACTCCGTGTTTGCACTGATTCTTCAAGGCATCAACCCTACATTTCATCTGATTTATAACGAGGCACACTTGTATATCAGTGTGCCCATTCATGATTGGCCAGCAAAGGTGCTGTGGAGAAGGAAACACCTTATCAGATCAAGCGCAGAGTATTCTGTAGTCAGACATCAGTCAGAGCTTGGCCACGAAACAAGCTCCCGAAGAACAGAACTGACCACTTCTACAGAATGATAAATCAAAGCAAATCAAGATGGGAAGTGACTTATCCCATTGTACTCAACTTGTCCCTTAACCCACTAAAAGATTCAAAGACTCCCATCACTAGAAAAGAGAGAAATCTACAAGATTTCAGTGAATGGGAACTGCTGAAAGACAAATTTACTCTTGGGAATAGCTAATAAAAGTAGTGTCCCTCCAACGTGCACCATCTTTTTGGTTCTGTTCAGCAACAGGCCAAGGAGAAATGGCCATCAACTGAAACACTGAAGTTCCACCTCAACATGAGAAAAAACTTCTTTATGTTGAGTGTGGCAGAGCACTGGAACAGGTTGCCCAGGGAGTTTGTGGAGTCCCCTCTCTGGAGATACCCAAAACCCATCTGGATGCCTTCCTGTGTCACCTGGTCTAGGTGACCCTTGGCAGGGGGGCTGGGCTACATGATATCCAGAGATCCTTTCCAATTCTAACAATTCTGTGATCTCCCCTCATATCCACTCAAGGTTTTTTTGCAGGGAGCCTGCAAGCCTCCATATACAATTTCTTAAAGATCACAATTGCTTTACGAGGTCCGTTAGATTAGAAATACTCCCTCAACCCACTAGAGCAATCCTGCTACTTCCTATTTTTCTGGCAAATTTCACAAGAGATATTCAGCTACAGAAACGTGTTTAAATTTCGAACTCGAATCCCAGAAACTCGCGCTCCCGCCACGAAGCCGGCGCGTGTCCATTCCCGGGACACTTCCCATGGATAGACGGGAAGCGCTCACCACCGCCCCCTGCCGGACCGCGCTGGAACACCAAGGCGCAGCGCCGATCCAGAACGCGTCGGGCATTATCCTGCTGTTCATCCAGGAAAGAGATTCGGCTCTCAAGGCAGAAGGGCAGCACCGGTGTGCCGGGTATTCACGCGGTTTTTCCTACTCGCTATCAACGCTAAAAAGCAGCAGGGATTCTTGCTGCAGTACTACAGTAATCAAGCTTTGATGGGGGCTCTGACAACTGAAGGCAGCAGCAGGATTAACTTTCGTCTGCAACTTAAAGAGATTAATCTCAAGACTTCTGCTGCTGTTATTATCTTTGATCTCTTCCACAATTCAAAGAAATTTCCACACTCTCATGACTTCAATCATTTAGGCATAACGTCATAACTGTTCTCAAAAAAAAAAAAAAAACACCAGACCCTAAGCAAACACAAATACCCTGCCCAAGAGTCATCATCCTACACGCGAGATATGTTCTTAGTGCTTTTACTAAAAATCACCAGTGGGAACAACTTGCAATAGCATCACTGCATATGTCTGGATTTCTCCCTTGTGAAAGGACCTTTTTTTCCCCTACCCTTCCCCTCTTTGAAAAGAGCCAGAGAACAAGTCTCCAACCATACCCTGTAGTCTTACTGAATCTATTTTCCAGATGTATAAAAGGACACAGAATGAACACATAAAATTTTATCATATAAATTAAACATTACCTCTTAAAATCTGCTATCACTAAATTACTTGCTGACAATTAATGAGGAAACGATCCTAGCAATAGTCTCTTTGAAATGCTAATGCCACTATTCAATAATGAGATTTCCTATGTAATCTCACGTTTCAGTTTTATCTAACACGATAACTGGTGGCTGCAAATTTGCTTTTGAGCGCACGAACTTGCAAAGGGAGATTTTTCAAGATCTTTCTTAGGAAGCCAACAAGCCCTGAGTACCCACCGCTGCGAGCCCGGTGCTGAACTTCTCCACTTCCCCCGGAGCTCGCAGCCCCCGCGCCCCATCCCGGGGAGCAGAACCGCTCCCTCTGCACGGGGGACTGATTGTCTTACGGAAACGAGGGATTTCCCTCCCAGCCGGCACACTCAGAACTCGACCAGGGAGAGTTTAATCCGCTCCCCGACATCTGTCGCTTACTTTCTAATAATGTGGTTTGGAACTCGATCAACAGCAAGGAGAGGAGAGGAGCGAATCTCCCAGTGCGGGTCGGAGGCAGCCGTGAGGAAGCGGCAGCAGCCTCTGCCCGTGCCCTCGCCGAGGGAAGGGGCCGAGGCACCGGCTCCTGCCCACAGCCGCTTTTGGGCCGGTTTCGCACCACCTTTGCCACTGACACACAGTGCTGAGACTCGCTGACCGCCTACAAACTTTTAGCGCGTAGCTTAGCAACGAAAATAAAAAAAGAAGAAAAAAAAAAAAAAAAACACCACAACCCAACAAAAAAAAAACCACGAAATCCGCCTAATATCCTGCCCCTCCTGGACTACCGTGGGTGCCGCTCGCCAGCCGGAGGGACAGCGCTGCCCGCCCGTCACAGCGGCACCGACCGCCCGCCCCGCACGGCCCCACAGAGCCCCCCCAGCCACGGGCACCGCCCGCCCCGCCGCCCCCCGCGCTCCCCCGGCGGGACAGGAGCGCACGGCGGCACCAAGGGGCGCTCGGCGCTGCCGCCTCGCCGCGCTCCGCTCCGCTCCAGCGCGGGGCTCCCTGTGCGCTGCCCCGCGCCCTCACCGATTTTAATCCTGACGCTCTGGAAGACCCGCAGCCCCTCTTCCTCCACCGCCATGGTGGTGGTGCCGCCGCCGCGCCTGGCGCTCAGCAGCGCTCGAGCCCCGCCGCCGCGGAGATGCAAGGGCTGAGCAGAAGGAGGCAGGCGAGATGCTCCGCCGGACGGGGAGCAGGGAGGGCAGGCGGCCGCACGCCGCGACCGGACCGGAGCGAGGGATGGAGGGAGCAGCGAGCGGCCGCGCAGCCCAGCGGAGCCGAGCGCAGCACAGCGCAGCGCAGCGCCCTCCTCTGCCCCCGCACCGCGGGCCGGCAGCGCCCGCCCCGCCGCCACCACCGCCCCCTCATTGGCCAGCGGGGCGGTGGCCGCGGCTCTCATTGGCCCGCTGCCCGCGGGGGCGGGGCAGCCGCGCGGGGGGAGCGGCGGAGCGCGGCAACAGCTGGAGCGCGGTCGCCCCCCGAGCGGCTGAGGGGCTGTTGCGGTACCGCTCCGGTGCTCCTGGTCCTGCTCCCCTGCTTCCGGACCGGCAGCCTCCCCGCTCCGGGACTCCCGGAGGGGCAGCGCGGAGAGGGCGAGGGCTGATTAACTCCGTGGCCCCGCTCCAGTGCCGGCCCGGACCAAGCGCCGGGAGCAGCCGTTGGCGTCATGGCGAGAGGGAGGCAGGGAGGGAGGGAGGGATGATGTGCAAGTCCTGTTTCCCACAGAGCCATAAAGAGAGGGCACTATCGATGCCCCAGGTTGAAAGCCATTCATTAGCGGGGAAAAGAAGTTCCGTATTAAATGAACAAACCTGTTTGGGCGCTGAGAGCAGGCCAGTCTGTCTCTTGGCTCCATTTGATCAGCGGCAAAGCTGGCTCTACCTGATTGCACGGGAAGAGAAGGGAATTCAGATTTCAGACTTGCATGACTACACATTAAACAGCAAGAAATAGGACCTGTGTCAGTATTCAGTGCCAAACTTTGGATCTTGTAAAGTCAGTAATTGAAATACTCCTTCCCTAAAGATCTGGTGATAGCAGAGCACAAAGTTCAATGGAGGTCTACAGATTACATTAGTTCAAAAATCAAATTTTTTTTTAAACAGTCACATTAGCTTTGATGCAGTCACAGCTCCCCAGAGGATGTTTGGACATCCCTATGAAGAACAGTGCAGGCATATGAGAGTCCACCATGTCCAAGAAGCTCAACAGAATGCCCTTTTCCAAGCCTGCAGCCTCAAAAAAAAAAAAAAAAAAAAAAAAAAAAAAAAAAAAAAAAAAAAAAAAAAAAAAAAAAAAAAAAAAAAAAAAAAAAAAAAAAAAAAAAAAAAAAAAAAAAAAAAAAAAAAAAAAAAAAAAAAAAAAAAAAAAAAAAAAAAAAAAAGTGAGATACTGAAATACAGAAGAGCAAATGAAAATTTGGGAGGGAGCTACACTGGCAGTGGAAGTCAGCTTGTAAGAAAGCCTGAAGCATCTGGGTTTTTCCACACAGGTATGGGCCTAACTCAAGGAAACTGGCAAGCTCACAGCCAAAAAAGGAAGCAGTGAGTTATCTTAAGGAGCTGCCTGACTTACTGTGTTCTCCTTGTCTGCATAGCCAAGTGACATATGTAATTTGATTTATAGCACAGGACTCTAAAGAGATTTTATAAAGTACAGGCTTCTAGTTACCAACATCCATGGCATAATTCCCTCTTCCTTGCTGCAATATGCTCAATGTCCTCCCTAACATCATAATCCCCATTCTGTGTGTCATCTCTTCTTCCATAATACTCCCACCTCACTGCAATACTTCAGCTCCTCTGCCCACTGGTCCTTTGCATCCCCCATGATACCTTCAGTGCTCCCTCACCTAATAACCGTTAGCATTTTTGTCACTTTAACCCAAATTTCACCTGTCACAGTACTTCTGACTCCCCTATTTTTGCCTCCCAGCTGGACAAGAGGCAACACAAGCAGCAGCCTGAACAGAAACTAGAAGAATGCTGATCAGAGAGCTCATATATTAAGAAGGACATTTACTCAGACTGGCCAACCTGTTATTGCCTCTCACATGCTGAATGTGACAAACAGTTTTGGAGTATACATGTTATACAGGTCTGTTTTAAGACTGTGTGCATGCTCTCAGATAAAAAAGAATATATGAAGTCTGTTGCTTTTGCTCCTTCACCACAAGTGCACAGATCTTGAATGTATTTGTACAAAACAAATAGAAGCCCACTAAGACGTCTCACTGAAGAAAAATGTCAAACAACTGTTACGCATAGTGCTGTACACAGACAGAAACAATTACAGCTACAAGCCAGTGGATAATGTTTAGCTGTAAGCAAATGTAAACATATCCTATGCTCAGGATCCCTATAAATCTTCCTTAACAGCATCAGGGAGAAACCTTCTTCCATGCTCTAAATAGTATAGACATCTCAGATAAAATATTTCTGTGTTTGCTTTGGTACACAGAGGCTTCAGTTGACCTCATTTCCCTGTCTAAAGCTTTTCTCATCTGCAGAAAGTTGACCCCAAAATAGTCATTAAAAAAAAAATCAATTTATCAATTCTCTTCCCAGCATTTCCTGCTGTAAGGGTTGTTCTCAGCAGATACTGCACAGGCTATCCTTTGCCATTTACCATTGTGTTCTTTTTGGACAGTCATGGCACTTCTATCTATATCCTTTATGTTCAGGAAGTGAAAGAATATATCTATTTATAACGCAGTCATTATACATTCACAAACCAGGCTATACATAAATCCCCCACCCCTTTATGTGCACCCAGATTTGCAGTCAAAGCCCACCACTTTAATTTCATTTGACCCAGCATAAATTCACTTGTAATCTAAGGCGATGGTTGTCTCCCACACCCTAACTTCAGGTGTTGCTTTCAACCTCTCCCTGTGCCAGCACTGGTGCTCAGGAAGGTGTGCAGTGTACTGTATTTGTTGGTGAAAAAAAAAATAGACTTGCATGACTTCCATTTGTATATTATGGAAAACAAGAGGCCCATAAGCCATGACACTTGTAAATTCTTTACCCAGGATCATAAGCAACCTGATGAGAAAGACACCCATTCCAAAGGTGTGGTTAGGGCACAGTGGCGTGCTGGGCCACTTTAGGAATGCACACTAGCCCACAGCCATGCTTCTGAGCTGTTTTTCAGGATGGCTTAGCTTTGCCAACAGTGTGGATATCTCCAGGAAAGCTGTGGCAAAATTCAACTATAAACCCAGCCTTTTCTTTAAAATGTAGTTAAGTACCATGAACTTCCACATTTAAACACAAAGGAAACTATCAAGATGCCTACAGAATCAATAAGCAACAATTGGAACACACCAACAGTTAAAACAAAATACCAAAACCACCGAAAAAAAAAAGTAATTTAAAAAATTATATAAAGGGAAAAAAAAAAAAAAAAGGAAAAAATATGCCACCTTCTTAGACTCTTTGCCGTGGAATAAATTAAGATTCCTGACATGAAAATCTACAAATGGTTGCTTACACCTCTCAGTGCTGTCCAGCTACTCTTCTGGTTTCTCACCAGATCTTTTCTGCTGAAGCTCTTTGGTAGTGCTTTTGTGTATCAGTGTGCTAGTTTATTTTATGTCAGATCTTATTTTCCTGACATAAGGCTGAAAGCTTGTTGCTTCCTCTGTAATAAACATCTGTCTTCAAATCTACGTCATGCAGTCCAACAAAGTAAATGCAAGCACTGTTTCAAAATTCACATGAAATGTATTTTTAAAGATGATAAGCACAGTATAAGAAACAGCCAAAGAATGTGTGTTGCTTTTTTAATTTCTTCATTGCTGAAATGAAACCTCAGTGGCAGCATATCGCATGTGTATGTGCGTATTACAGATAACATGTGCAGGCAACATGAGGTTTGCAGCTGCTAGCAGTCTGATCAAAAAAATCTAGGCAAAGTGAATGAAATACTGCTTTTTAAGATGGGGATGAGTCTGTTAGTGACAATGTCTTTTCCAACTTTCTTCATTCAGGCCATATGGGTTTGTATTATCAGCTCTTCAGAGGATTCTTGGATCTAAATTAGACTACAAAGAAGGTCATTTTCTGTGACTCATTTGTGCCAAGCAAGGAAATCATTTCCTCTCTTGATCTACATGATAGCTTTCTCTTGGGAGGAAACAGAGTATAAGAAGCTTTCTAATCTCCTTTTGCATTATGCAAGAAACTAACAAAATATGAACCTTCTATCCCCAGGGTAGCACAAAGCTGCTACCTATATTTATGTGAAGGAACAACATATTTAAGACAAACCTAAGGAAACATCACTGTAATAAAAAGCAAGACACTGATCTGATGACTGAGCAAGATATTTTAATTGAATTTTAGGAAGACATAGGCAGTTTCAACTGATAATCTCTGTACCAGGCCTAAAGCTACATCCAGAGATGCTGCATGGTATGACTGCTCTATGCCAACTAGGGTGACCCAATAAACATTTATCCCTGGCAAAGGGAATGGAGAAGAAAAGATGTCTTTGTTAGTGCTTCTGCATTCTATTCCCTGACTGAGTGGTAAATTCAGCCTTTGCAGTGATACCTTTCATAGTAAGATAGTAAAAGTAGCCAGGTATTTCTGCTCCTGAAGTCCTAGAACCAACCAACTGGTCAGAAAAAGGCTGCAGACCTTCCCCCAGTCTCCATGCATAGTGAAATACACTATGTAAGTAGGAAATTGAGTCTGTGATTATTCGTGTCTCCAAAGGCTAAGAGTTTGCATCTAATGTAGCAACAGAGAGGAATGAAGAAACACTAATGAAATCGCTTGTATGATTAATCTGGCAGAAAAACACTCTGGCCATTACATTAAATGAAAGAAGGAAAGAAAGAGAATAAAAACAAGAAGCCTTTAATTAGCAAAATCTCAGCAACAGTGAGAAGAAAGCACAGATAATACAGAAGTGACAAAGTTTATTGAAGGAGAAACATGGGAAAGAGCAGACATTACTGAGGTGGCTGTTACTGACCTCTGTGTGTGTACCAGTATATATGCATGTATGGTACACTCACACACTGGATAAAAATAGGTCTATGCATCCGAATCAGGAAAATCAGGGATTGCTCTCCAGTTATTACACTCACAGAAAGCAAAGATCTTCACTGTGACCCCTGCATACAGGAAGAAAAGCATGTCTACCTGTTTTTCTTACTGCTTGCCTTTTCAAAAAATCGTACATCTTTGCTGCTTGTAGCTGGAACCCTGGGCCAGGAAGAGGCCAGAAGGGGAAAAAGAAAAATGGCTTTAATTACAGGAAAAAGGGGCCAGTGAGAACTGGTTGTTATAATAGCTGAGACAATACCACTAATTTTCATGTTATAAGTTTTTAGGGTTTTTTCTATTTTAAAAAGAGCACTTTGCTCTTTCAATTCTTGTTCATCAC